GTGAAATTATTATAAGCATTGGTTTATTCATGGACTTCCTCTTTTGTTTCATTATTTTTTTGTTTGTAGTATCACTGTCTCATAGAAATATCATGTGAGCCACAACTGCAAGTCACATACAATTTAAAATATTCTATTAGGCAATTTTAAAAAGTAAAAAGAGAGGTGAAATTACGTTTAATAATGTATTTTATTTACCCCCCTATAGCTATATATTATCATTTCTTTTTTTTTATTAAATCTTTATTGTTCAGATTACATTCTTTATCATACAAAGACATTGGAATGTGGTGTGTATTATACTTACAACACATCTCAGTTTGGACTAGCTATGTTTCCAGTAGAGTTAGCCACATGTGGCTTGCAGCTACCGTATTATATGGCTCAGGTCAATATCTCTGTTAGGGCAGGTCCAGAGTAGCCTTAGCTCTGCAACGAGTTCAGTCCTACCACTAAGGTCTGGCCCTTCCAGAATTGGTCCAATGAGACCTCTTCACTCAGTGGCTAGACCTTCGACAGTGTCCTGGCCCTGTATGACTTTGGGAATTGCCTTGCCTACAGCCCCCCAAGTTGTTCTTTCCTCAGTAGTGCACTGTGCTCAGCTCCTGGAGTCTCACCTCCACAAACCCACTCTTCATGCCTACTATTCAGCCAAAGACTCAAGAAATCCTCTGTACAGATTCCTGAGCTCTTTCTCTGCATACTAGTAGCTCCCTCCTTTTCAGCACCCTGTTCTGAGGGGCCCAGCAACATCTGTGTCCTCAACTTGGCCAGATCCCTGTGCTTGCAGAGTACCCTCCCCGCACATGGTCAGGAAAGGGCCTGGAGGCTCACCTCAGGGGTTTCTTTTCTCTGAGGAACCACAGTTGTGCATGCCGGGGGGTGGGGGTGGGGTTGGCAGGTAGCTAGGCTGCTGCTAGTTATTCTTAATGATCAGAAGTCCTACTTTAAAAAACATTTTGGGGTTTATATATTAGTTCTATTTAATTCTTTCATAATTAATTTCATCTTTATTAATCCCTTCTTGTTTTACTTAATTGTATTTTTTTGTAACTTTATTTATATTTGTTCTTGTTTACTAGAATAAATATTTAGGGCTATGAACCTTTAGTACTCCTTTAGTTATTTCTCAAGAATTCTGATATGCAGTATTTTTGTGGTTGTTATTCTCGAGATATTTTGGAGTTTAGTTTTTCTCTTTGACTAAGAATTGTTCCAGAGATTAAAAAAATTATTGAGATGGTAAAGTTTTATGTTTCAGTTTTCTCTTTCTGCTATTAACTTTTAGTTATTTGGAATTACAAATAAAGTTACCTATACTGTTTATACTTTTTGAAAATTATTTGTAGCTTAATGCAGAGAGAGAGAGAAAGAGAGAGATGTGAGAGTGACATATCAATTGATTGCCTCCCACACGAGTCTCAACAGAGGCGGGGGATTGAACCTGCAGCCCATGTAAATGCCCTTGACTGGGAATCAAACCAGAGACGCCTCTGTGCACGGGCTGGTGTCCAATACTGGCCAGGACGATGTGTGTGTATTTTTAAATGTTCTTTTACTTTGGGTGCCAGTGTAGAATTAATTTTAAGATGAGTTTCAGTGCTGGAAAGTATATGAAAACCTTTAGCTTCAATGGCCTCAAAGGTCACCTGGAATGTGTAAAATGTGAATATGAATTTGTGTCGGCCCTAGAGTAACCCCTGAGTAGAGCTGAAATCAAAGGGTATCTTAAGTATTCTTTCCTCTCACTTTTAATTCCTTTTCTTTCTTTTCTCTATACGATATGCTAATTAAAAAATCTAGATTACACAGACCCAGGCCTGGTGTTATACCAGTCTGTTATCAACAAATGAGAGCACATTAAATAGTTTTTAATTGGTCTTAGGAAAAGCAAAGGTGAAATGAAAATCTAATTCTTCTGGACCTTTGTTCAAAATGCCTTTTCCAGCTCCACTATAAGGACTGAATTTTAATTAGCTTGATTCGCACTGTTTGGCCATGCATTTGTAATCTTTGTTCACACTTTGGGAAAAAAACTGATGAAAGAAATTGGACAATAATGGGAATCTTGTCTGAGCAGAACAAATTGGAACTATCAAATATATCGCAGATAACACATGCTGCAGCTGGGGAGGAGAAGCGCCAGGGCTGGTGACTTAAAGTCATCCCTCCTCCAAAGTGCACTGTTCAGCCTGGCGCAGCCCTGTCCCGCACAGAGAGGTGGCAGCCAGGCGTGGAAAGTGTTTTAGTGCCAGGGGACCTGAGTTGGAATCCTGCCTCTGACCCTGATGGTAGGTCATTTAATCCCCCTGGTCCTCAGTTTCTGCATCTGTAAAACGGGATGGTAATGTCCACCTTGCAGCCTTCTGAGGATTGAAAGGAATGAATTATGTGAAAGTGCTTGGCATATAACAGGGGCTCCGTAAATGACCAAGAGGATTTCAAAGGAAGGCTATATGGCTGGGCTGAGGAATACTTAGGAGGTTTCCTGCTTTTTCCTATTGAAAAGAAGGAAGTGGGCAGGGGCCACTTCGTGTGTATTGTGCTGGGGTGTGGGGGAGGGGGAGGCGGGCTGGGTGTGTGTCTTCCTAGACTACTTTCTTCCCAATAGCTCTGGGGCAGCAAAGAACCACGGTCTTTTGCACAGGAGCCCACTCAGGACGCTGCTCTGTAGCTATGAAGCCTCGAGAGCCCATGCTTACCCCGCGAGCTTTGAGGGACAGCTAGGTGGCTCTTGAGGTCCTTTAGCTGAGCACACTGCACCAGTAGGCAAATGGGTGAGGAGTTTCCCAGCCAGCAAGTAGGTCAATAGCACGTATGAGCACAGAGTAGGGCTCCTGGTAAAACATTATCAGGGTGCTGTGGAGGTGTCACGGTGAGAAGATGTAGTTCTTGGCCTGGGAGCTTATAACTCAACAGAGAAAACCAACAGAGGAAAAAAAAATTTTCGCCTGAGATAGTGTCACAATTTAGTATTTGCTGAGGTCCGCAGCCATGTGTCTAGCGATGGTGTCGTAGACCATTCCAGCATGTCATAATTTCAAGAGTTTCATCAAAAGGTTGATGAAACTTGGGGGACTCATCAGGGTTGAGTCACACATGTAGTCACCTGTTGGAAATGGCTAAAGGCATTTCCCCAAACTTGAATAGGAAACTGATTGTGGCTGCCAGACAGTTAAAGGGCATCTTAATCTACATGTTATTGCCTCCTACTGGCCAAACACCTGAACAGCCGTAGGCTAATTCCCCCATTCTGACAATGCCTCTGTACCCTTTGAAACCTTACCCATTGAAGTGTATTATCTCACCTTGCCTTAGGACAAATTGTGTTCATAAAAGCAAGGGTCCTAGACAAGGAGGGAGTCTTCAGTTCCTTTAGCTGAAGGTCCTCTGACCCCCAAGGCCTTTCAAAATTATATCTCGTCTCCGGACTCTCTATTAGTCTCTGGATTCCTATGTCATCTACGCACAGCGCCTTTTCCAGATTCCTGAACCCTTCTTGATGCTGGGACATAAACCCCGGCACGACCGGGTCAGAAAATGGAGTACCTCCATCTTTGTGAGCATCACTCAGAACTCATTCTGTGCTCCCACAAGTCCCTCCCTGTTAGTACACACTCAGGGTTTGACCGATCTGGGTTAATGTCAAGCCTCTTGTCCTTATGGCCTTGGGGAAGCACCTGCTCTCTGGACACCCCAGTCTCTTCATCCTTAAAATGGCCGCATCACAGGAGCGGGTGGATAATTTGCCGCTGCTTTCAGCACAGAGCAGTGCAAGAGGGAGCATGGCAGGACCAAGGGGATCTATTTTCTGCCCTCAAGGCGGTGGTTCTCCACCTGGGGTCTCTGCTCTCTCAGAGGCCTTTGGCTATAAGGGGGGGGGGGTATTGGGGGCATGTATGTGTGAAACATTCTACAATGCATAGGATAACCCCCCCTTCCTCTAATTTTGGAATTAGAAGATAAAAATGCACCCATTTGAGGTCTCTCTCTCTCTCTCTCTCTCTCTCTCTCCCTCTGAAGAGACATAAAATGTCATGATCCTTAAGGCCATTTTCACTCCATTTTCAATCGGTGGCCCTGTCCCCACTGCCCACAGCCGCCTCCCGCTGTCCTCTATGTCCTGGCTGCAGCCCCCTCCTGAGGACTAGGAGGCGCTTTCCACCAGCAGCACCCCTGCCCTGCTGGTGTGGCGCCCCCACCCTCACCCTCACCCTCGCCCCCGCCCCCAATTAGAGCCTTCGCATGCCCGCCGGGCGAGGGGCCTGAGCGGCACAGAAAGGCCCCCCGCGCTCCTCGGGCCGCTCCCCAGGAATGCAGGCAGGGCCCGAGCGCACGGAGCCCGGGAGGCTGCGGGGAAGCCGGACTCGAGGGAGATCCCACTGGCCTGCTTGGGGCCAACACCTTCCCAGTGGTTCCAGGCAGCGCACAGCCCTGCTATTCACCGCAGTAACCCCAGGGCCCGCGGGCAGAGGCAGCCCGGCCACCTGGCCTGTGACCGACGCTGGAGCCAGGGTCCCGTCGCTCCGCAGCAGGCGGTGGCCCCGCCTTGAAGGAGCCCCGCCGCGGCGCTGGCGGCTGGGGAGGGCGGGGGAGGGAAGTTTCTTTCCCAGCCGAGCCCTGGACTCCAGTCCCGGGGCGCACTCCAACTTCCCGGGCGCGCCTCCTGGGGCGCCGTCGAGGCAGCTGGCCGCTGTCTCCAGGTGGCCGCGGGGGCGGAGGGGGAGGGGGAGCCCCAGCCGCCCGGAGCCCAGAGCCAAGATCTGATTTCGGGGACCATGCCTGGGAGCTGAGTCAAGCCCGCCGCTGGGCTGTGCCGCAGCCCGGGCGCTGAGCAGTCAGCCGTGGTTAATGATTGACCACGGACCACCGGCCTCCAGCAGCAAAGAGGGTGCTCCCGGAGGGGCGTCGGGGCGGGCGAGTGCCGGGCGGCGGAGGGGAGCGAGGGCTGCGGGGCAGGGCGCCAGGGGCCCCCAGGAGGGCGGGCGCGCTGGGGGCTGCGGGGCCAGATTAGAACCGCCTTCCTGCGCGCTCTCCGCTCTCCCCGCCTCGCTCTTACACACACGCCCCCAAACTCCACCCCCAGGCGCCTCGGGGCCGCTGCGAGGCTGGGCTGCTCCAGGAAGTTCCCATGAAAGCACCTGAAATAAGTTACCTTTCCCAGGTGAGTGCGGGCCAGCTGGCCTCCTGAGCGCGGCCAAGAACGAGGGCTCCACGGAGAGGAGGGACCTTGAGCCGGTCTCCGACCGACCGACCGACCCGGGTGGCCGGGCCTCCTTCCTGATGGCTCCCCCCGGCGGCCCCCACGGCGACTGCTCCCACGTCATCGATCACAGCCACATCCCCGAATTCGAGGTGGCCCCCTGGATCAAAATCACCCTCATCCTGGTGAACCTGCTCATCTTCGCGCTGGGCATCCTGGGCAACAGCGTCACCATCCGCGCCACCCAGGTGCTGCAGAGGAAGGGCTACCTGCAGAAGGAGGTGACGGACCACATGGTGAGCCTGGCCTGCTCCGACATCCTGGTCTTCCTCATCGGCATGCCCATGGAGTTCTACAGCATCATCTGGAACCCGCTGACCACGCCGGGCTACGCGCTGTCCTGCAAGCTGCACAACTTCCTCTTCGAGACCTGCAGCTACGCCACGCTGCTGCACGTGCTCACGCTCAGCTTCGAGCGCTACGTGGCCATCTGCCACCCCTTCCGCTACAAGGCCGTGTCCGGGCCCTGCCAGGTGAAGCTGCTCATCGGCTTCGTCTGGGTCACCTCCACCCTGGTGGCCCTGCCGCTGCTCTTTGCCATGGGCGTGGAGTACCCGCTGGTGTACGTGCACAGCCACCGGGGCCTCTCTTGCAACCGCACGCTCACGCGCCACCACGAGCGGCCCGAGACCTCCAACATGTCCATCTGCACCAACCTCTCCAGCCGCTGGACCGTGTTCCAGTCCAGCATCTTCGGCGCCTTCGTGGTCTACCTCGTGGTCCTGGTCGCCGTGGCCTTCATGTGCTGGAACATGATGCAGGTGCTGAGGCGGAGCAGGCAGGGCACGCTGGCCGCCGAGGGGCAGCAGGCGCGGCTGCGCAAGTCGGAGAGCGAGGAGAGCAGAGCGGCCAGGAGGCAGACCATCCTCTTCCTGAGTGAGTCCCCATGGAGGGCAGCCTGGGAGCAGCCCCGCCCCCTCCCTCCCTGTGTTCTTTTAACTGCAAATCTTGTCTTAAAAGTGTCAAAATTCTTGATCCGAAGCAGCATTGCTCTGAGCCGCTGGATATTTCTCCTCTGTGTTTTGGGAATTAAGATTCGGGTGCAAAGAGCACTAGATCAGGAGTCAGAGGACGGGGTATACTCCAGAACAGCACCTCCGGGACCTCCAGCCAGTTGCACTGTTATCTTGGGTAAAATGGGGATGATAATACTGACAAATGTGAGCGTTGAATGAGGTGATGCAGGAGAGGTGCAAGGCCTCTGAGAGGGACCGAGTTTGCAGAGACACAAGAGAGCATCTTGCCCCTCTTTTCTCTGGAGAACCTTCCTCAGGTAGTTAGATTTGTCCCCATTTTTCTTCTCCTGTGGAGAAGCAAGGCTGTCAGGCTAACACACTCTGCAGGCTGCTGTGTTACTCCCAGGGGTGATCTCCTATGGTTCCGTGGCTCTCAGCCCAGCACTCCCCAGGGTAGGCTGCGGTTCCGCTGTGGTGGGTCTGTTCTGCAGGGAGAGAGAAGCAAGGCAGGCCACCCGCCTGTCTGTCTGATCCAGAAAATCTGGCTTCACAGAGTCCCGGGACTTGATTGATCAGCACAAACACCTGATTTCCATAGAGAGAAACTCTTTATTTTCCAAACTTTTGTTGTGATGCAGATATTTAAAGTCAGGCCCTTCTGTCAGGAAGGAAGGACCCACCATCTGCAGACCCCCACACCTTCCAAAGAGGGGCCTGGGGCTGCCCTCTGGGAGCCGGGCTTTCATGGAGACACATAAAGTTTGTTCTAGCAAAGGTTTTAAAAAACTTTTTTATTTTTTAGCAGAAACAAGAAAACATGTGGGTGTGTGAGTGAGTCAAGGGGGAGTTGATGTAGCACAGGCTTCTCCTCTCCCCTCTCCCCTCTCCCCTGTTCAGTGTGGCGCCAGGAGGAGGAATAAGTCACGGGCTGTTTGTTTTGTGAGGGAAACTTGGGCAACAGGTTCCAGGACCAGGACTTAGACATGAAAGAAAATGTGAAGGCAGTTGAGGAGAATGGAAGGCACTTGGTCCTGTCCCCGCGCTGCCTCTGGCTTCTGGTGTGTCCCCACAGCTGACTTCACTTGGTGCCTGTGGGAGTGAACATAGGGAGTTTGCAGTTTGGGGATGCCTACTCTGCATCAGGGGCTGTGCTGTGTGACTGAGGCTTTTCCATTTCATAGAATTTGAGGCTTAGAGAAGAGAAGACCTAATTCAAATGCATGTAAATGCAGCTCCAACTTTTCAACTTGCTTCTCAGGGCAGGGAAATGACTGGCGACAGGAAAATGAAATAAAGCAGGACTTTGACAAGGAAGGTGCTACCTAGATGGGGCTGGTGGTGTTGCTGCCTCCTAGGACCAGCCTTTCTGGAAGTAAGTGGGTAACTTTGGCGACTTGGAAGGGCACCCAACCCAACTCAGTCTCTTCCACCCACTCGCTGCTGCCCCAAATATTCTAGGAAGGAATGAGCATTACATTTGCTTAAGCTTGAACATCTGTTGAAAGGCTAGTTCTCCCTTCCCTCAAACACCCTTAGGAAAATCTTAAACTTTTCTCAGTAATTTATAATTGAGTGTGAATGAATTTCCTCCTTCCTTCCTTCCTTCCTTCCTTCCTTCCTTCCTTCCTTCCTTCCTTCCTTCCTTCATTTACTAGAGGCCCCGGTGCACAAAATTCGTGCAGGGGTGGGGAGGGGTCCCTTAGCCCAACCTGCACCCTCTCTAATTCGGGAGCCCTATGTCCTACTGACGGCTTAGGCCCACTCCCCGTGGTTCTCTGCTCTCTGCGGGGCCTGCCTGCTCCACACCATGGTGATGGGCAAGTAGGCCCTGCTGGGTGCTGTCTGCATGCCGCGCTTGCCTGCTGGGCTCGCATTGCCGGGGCGACGCTGCCAGCATCCCACTCCGGGTGCTATGGGCGCCACCATCTTTGTTGTGGGATGACAGTTAATTTGCATATTACTCTTTTATTATATAGGATTTATTTATTTATTTATTTATTTAATTTAAGTACTATTCTAATTAAGAATATTAAGGCTGCATTTGACCAAGGAAAAATAATTGATTTATCTTTATTTTCTATTGGACCAATCTCTGTGATTTTTTAAATATTTCTCTGAATGGACATCTCTTCTCTTCCCAGGGAGTATTGTTTCAAGTGAAAGTTAGTCTCCATTTTGTAGCATAAAATCAGAATGCTTTTTATTTAAAGATGAATAGGATCTTGAAGATATCTCATGCAGATAGTAATCTCCTGGAAAGAGTTTGTTCTTGCTGCTGCTCTCATTCCTTCCTTCTGGTTCTCTCCCTCTTTCTTATAACAACTATGTAGTCATCACCCACTGTGTTCTCCACATAAAGATGGTTGAGTGGCAATCAGGTGCTCAATGTGTGATAATGTCTGGGGAAAATTTACTATTTGTAGTTAGCCCATTTCTTCTGCAGTAGGTTTTCAAAGCAGTTCTTGCAAATGTGCCCCTCTCCCAAGGAATTTAAAGAGCTTTTAAAAATAGGAACCTCGCTAATTAACTCAAGTTAGGAAATAAATTAATGGAGTGAAGAGGAATAAATCATGGCTTGCATACATCAGATTAATACAATGCCATTTACTCTATGGGTTTCATAAAACATAAGCTTTGGGGCATTTATAACCAGAACAAATGAACATATAAATTGTTTACAAATTGCTGAATTTAATATAGTGAGTTAGCTGTCTTTTTAGCATTTCAGTTAACAGATGTATCAAATTAAAACAAATATTTGCTTATTTCAAACATTTTGCATTTAATGTGAAATGTAAATGATGACATAGCACAAGATGTCTTTGGCGCTCTTGAGGCAATAAAAAAACAATTAAGGGTTTCCCCCTTGTTGTTAAAAATGCTAACTTCTGCATAACAGAAGCGGAATTCATAAATCTACCCAAGATGAGGAAGTCTGTAGAAAATATTAATTTTCCATTCTATGTCTTTTGCAATTGCGTCTCAGTCTAGTGGAGGTGCTGGGCGGGGGAATAATGAAACAAATTGGGAACTCTGGAGAAAAAGAGATGCTGGAATGCCTCCTAGCTTTCAATTGATTTGCAAGGGAAAACAAAAACAATGTAAAATGTACATTCCTGGAAACATGTGTGTCTCTTGATGCCTCTTGTCAGCTTAATGAGAAATTAGCGCTAGACTCACTACCTTTTGCAAGGTTATGGCTAATGTGGCCAAGGTAATACTCGTCTGATGCCAGCCCAGATGTTACCTGCTGGTCTGGATTCCTGCCTGCTCTGGAGGGGAGGGACTGCTGCATTTGGCTCTTTATCCCATAGCTGGTGAGGATATGCAAAATGTGCCTTCTTTTCAACAGGCTTTTCCAGACCTTCCATCTCATGTTTCTCATCTCTCCCTTGGAACTTTTCTCCATGCATGTGGCATCTGGGTCCATGGGTCCCCTCCCTTGTTTGTGTCTGTTGTTAGATATCACCCACTCAAAGTGAAACGACAGAGTGGTTTAAATGAAGTATACTGTAGTTTTTGGTGGGATTATAAATTGGTATAGCCACTATGGAAAGTAGATGGAGGTTTCTCAAAAAATTAAAAACAGAACTACCATACAACACAGCAATTTCACTTCTGGGCATTTATCTGAAGAAAATGAAAACACTAATTTGAAAAGATATGTGGATATGTGCACCTCTATTTTATTGGAGCATTATTTACAACTAGAGGGCCAATGCACAAAAATTCGTGCAAGAGTAGGCCTTCCTTCCCCAGGCTGCCGGCACCAGCTTCCTGCCGGCACCTGGGACCTGGGCTTCCCTCCTCCAGCCACCAGCAGGCACCCGGGACCTGGGCTGGCTTCCCTCGGCCAACCCGCAGGCACCTGGGACCCAGGCTGACTTCCCTCAGGCCACCTACAGGCACCCAGGATCTGGGTTGGCTTCCCTATGGCCCTGGCTTGGTCAGGAAGGACATCCGGAATGATGTCCGGAAGACGTCCAGTCTAATGAGCATATTACCCTTTTAGCTAAGGTAGCTAAGATAGCTAAGATATGGAAACAACCTAGCTGTCCATTGATAGATGAATGGATAAAGAAGATGTGGTGCATACATATAATGCAGTATTACTCAGCAGTAAAAAAAATAATGAAATCTTGCCATTTGCAACAACACAGATGGACCTAGAGGATATTACGCTAAGTGAAATAACACAGAGAAAGACAAATGCCATATAATTTCACTTATATGTGAAACCTAAAAAAACAAACAAAACAAAACAAAAAAACAGACTCATAGAAATAGAGAACAAATTGATAGTTGCTAAAGGAGAGGAGGGTTCTGGGGTGGGTAGAAAAGGTGAAAGGGAATAACAAGTACAAACCTTGAGTTACTAAAAACAAAATACAAGTGTCTCTGAAGCTGGACAAGGTAAGGACATAGGTTCCCCTCTAGGACCTTCAGAAAGGAATGCAACCCTGCCGACACATTGATATTAGTTCAATAAAACTAATTCTGGCCTCCAGAACATAATACATTTATGTTGTTTTAAACCACTAAATTTGTGGTAACTTATTATAATAGCAGTAGAGAACTAACAAAACCAGACCCTTTAAAAGTTAAAATATAAAAGAATATTGAGAATTTTCATAAGTAAATATTAAGAACAAATACTGATGAGCAATAATAATAATAATAGCCACAATTTATTGGACATATACTATGTGTAAGTCAGTTATGCTTACATCAACTCATTAAGAGGATACCAAAATTATTCAATTTAATAGAAGATGGAACATTTTAAAGAACTTAAGTATATGTCCATGGGACAGAGAGTAGGTAGTGAAACAAAAATATTGGTGAGAAAGATATAGGAACTATCAGAAGAAAAACCAAAAAATGTGATAAATCATTGAGGTTTTTTTTTTAAAAATCAAT